AAATGATCATGGTCACGAACAATAACATCTTCTTTTAAAAAAGGTTTTTCACAAATATGACAATGACTCGACCTTTGATCTAGACTAATTTCACTATCCATTGGTATAATATCCTTAAATTTTGAACGAACAAATTTTGATAAATTAGATATTTCCTCCACGAACCAATCAATACAATCTAGACCACGATAACTTTTGAAAAATGATATTGAATCATCATAAGAACATTTAAAGTAATATGCAGCACTGTAAGCTTCGTGCTTTTGGTATTTCGAGGTTTTATCTGAAATTTTCAAATTTACTTTTCTCAATTGACTCTCAAAATCGGCGTAAATTACAAACGGAGTCCTTTGTTTATATATATGGTTTCGAAATTCAACGTAATCATATTTGGGAAAAGACACTTTATACTCATTGAAACTGGAACATATTGTTTCATGGTCATGTAGACGAGTTTCGTTATTGAAATAATTCAAACACCTATCGCAAATGTATTTCTTGTGATTATATTTACTGAGCTGTGAGGAAACTAATCGAGACAAATTTTTAATGTAACAATAGTGATATTTTATTTCTTCATAATCATTATCTTGCGGATCAGGATCAAAATCATTAACTTTTGGATAATATTTATTTTGTATTAACAACAAATTTGAATGTTTTTCGCGTTTTTCTTTTGTTAATCGTGCAGGTAACACGGAATAAAAACTAGTTTTTTCATTTTTATTAAGCTCTAAGATATAAACATTGATGGAAATATCATTGTCTTTTTCAAATTTGCTTATTTTATTCATTTCCATAGGTGTTTGTAAATTTTCAGTTTTCAAAACACTTTTGTAGTATGGATATGAAGAGGGTAAATACTGACGAAAACGTGCTGGAAAGAGTCCGCATACAACTGACCAATAAAAACACGCTTGATCGTCATTTCTAATGTTAATACAAGCCCTTTTATTCGCAATTTCTTTAGGCAACTCAACGAAGGATGACCCGTTACCCATTTCAAATTTATTAATGTTAATCTCTAAATAAATAATATTATTTAAAGCCCACCCGGAATCACGTTCCTGAAACTCTGACATTTGATTTAAAATTTTATCTTGCACATTTTCAACAAACCAATCATTCAATTCTGTTCCTAAATCAACTACAGCATTTCCGGTACTCAGATATTTAACATCAACTTCGCCTTGGACATCATTTTTTGCCTTAATAAATTCACCGCAAAATGTGGTATTTACTTTCAGCAATAAAAATTTCTTTAAAATTTGACTAATTTTTTGTTGAAATATTGGACGAGAATCGTTTAAAAATTGAATTAAATCTTTATGAAGTAAATTAATTATGACACCAGTCTGAACTCTTCCCTGGAAACACGACGCTACCGATTCCCATACAACCATTTCATTTGTGTTTGTCTCGCGGCTACTACTTTGTAATCCCAATCCAAAATGCTTATGTTGATAATTAAGAATAATTTTTCTAATAGCTTTCAGATGTTGAATTGTAGTTTGTAATTTTCTTTTTAACCCAATAGAGAAATCCTTTTCGTTAGAAACGATTTGGTTGCAAGATTCAATATTTTTATTTAGTCTCCTAAGCCACACATCACTATCTCTAAGAGTGAACTTGTCGGAAATATGCTTTTTTAATTTTTGTAAGGTTAAAATTAAGATTTGCGCTCTATGAATGATCTGCTTTACGCGCATCGTGGTTTATTAAATATATAACAGTAAATAAGACTTACCCTGTATAATATGTTGATTAATTTTGAATTATTTTGAATTTCTTTAAAGAGTTGGGCTTTCCAATATCTTTGGATCCCTCGTAGACCAGTTTGTACTGCCCCGACGCAAAGTGTTCTAGTCTCGGACGGAAAGCTTCTGTCACGCGAGTAGGAAGAAATACTACGGAATTTTCTAATTGCAGCAACACGGAATTGCCAAATTTTGTATTAACAATTTTGGCTCTAGTAATTTTAAACGGAACGCCTATCGGCAATTCATGCAGTTTGACAATCGGCTGCTCAAAATCACCTTCTGCAAGACAGGTTTGATTCAGTTGACTTAAGTCCATCTATAAATTATTATTAATTATTTTATCTCAAAATTAAAAAAATAAAAAAAAACTTACGCTTAAGATTGCTGCTATTCTATTTGCGGTTACGGGTTGAGAGTACTAAGATGATCTTTAGGACCTTTATAAAATAATAACAAATGTTAAAGAATTAAAATAAGACAATAAAAAAGGTACTTACTGCTTTTTTGTACGAACACCAAACCACTAAGTTAGCTTCCACGTTGCACGAATAATACCAAAAACAACTACTGACAAAACAGAGAAAAATGAGATGTATTTATACGGTGCGAGAATACTTTCTAAAAGTTAACAAACGAAGACACCTCCACATGCGTTGCAACAAATTTTTCCCATTACGTTAATCCCACTGAGCAAATATAAAGGGGGCAATTAATTATTATTCTCAACAAGCAAAACAACTTGACATTTAGACTCGGCGCGTTTTGAAATTCCACATCCCATACGGAGATTGTAAAAAATGAAAGCAAGTTGGCCTTGATCTTTTGCGGCAACATACGTTCGTCCAACGTCCGAAACGGTTGCGTTCCCGTGTGAAAGCGTGTTGACCTTGAGACTCCTACCTGCACGGTTGTCTGGCGACAACATCGCGTCTATTCAAATCGGCGTTGGTGCTTGTGGGTAGAAGACCTTTCGACTTTTAATTCAACCATGGAAGGGAGTGCATGTGTATAAATACGTTGCATGTGTATTATAGACTATATTCAGTGCAATGAATAGAGAAGTGCGATGTCCATTTCCCTACGACCCTACAACTGGTAAGTTTTATATTTTAATTACCTTTATACAGTGCGCGTCTTTTCTTGTGGGTTTCAGTTTGGGTTATCACTTTTTTGGTTAGTTTCTACCTGTTTTTAAAATATGATACTCATCTTTTTTACGTTGCATAATAACCGATTTAAATTGAGTGTTTTTAATAGCTTTTAAATGACAGTGAATGGAAAAGGGAATTTTGGCTTTTAAAAAATAAACAATTTTTAAATTTGTTTCAAAAATGTTTTATTTTTTGTACTAAAAAATTGCAGTTTGCCTTTTTGACAATAATAATCGAATTAAATTGAGCGTTTTTAATATCTTTTAAATGACAGTGAATAGGGAATTTTGGCTTTTAAAAAATAAACAATTTTTAAAATTACTGAAAGTTTTGTTTCAAAAATGTGCGTTTTATGGGGAAAACGCGAAATATATACATATTTTTGTTTATTTTTTGTACTAAAAAATTGCAGTTTGCCCTTTTGACAATAATACACTTACATTTAAATGACAGTGAATTGAAACGTGAATTTTAGTATGCGCGTATAACTTAAAAAACAATTTTTAAAATTATTTGATAACCCCCCTTTTTGGAAGTTTTGTTTAAAAAAAAAAAATGTGTGTTTTATAGGAAACGCTACATATCATACTTTGTTTTGTTCTAGAAAAAATCGCGGTTTGTCCGTATAACAAGTCGCATATTATGTTGGCGCATCGCTTAGGGCGTCACATATTCAAATCACACAAAGAGTACCGGGGGTTAGAATTCCCGGTACGACATGAAACGACAAGGGAACATCACCAGCAGCAGGAGCAACCCGGTGGATCAAAAGAAACAAAGGAGCAGCAGGAGTACCCGGGTGGGTGGTCGACGGAGTGGGACGGCGAGGAGTGCACTTCGTATTTAGATTTCCTCCGGGAACGGGAAGAAGAACAACGCAAGGAACAGGAACAATGGGATGGTCGACTGAATCGACATAAAAAGAAGAAGAAACTCCTCGCCAGACCAATTTTATAAATAAAATAAAATGTATTAAAATTCAAGTTTATTTAATTATCCTCCCGATCCACCGCATCACCGCGCCGCACCGTCACCGCCCTCTACCGGGGGGGCCTACGACGGTCGGAGCGCGCGACATCTAGCAGCGACGGGCGGAACCGGGGCAAAACAGGACGCTACACAAGCTGGCGACACAAGCGCGCGACATCTAGCAGCGACGGGCGGAACCGGGGCAAAACAGGACACTACACAAGCTGGGTGGGGGGACACTAGGACGCCACGCGCGGGGGGCCCCCGCTGCGGGGGGGTTAGGAAATTGAGGTTATGTACGGTTTCTGTTGCTTATATCGGCACTATACATCTACTAACTATAATCGGTACTGGACAGATCCCGAATAAATACCAATTTAGTTACGGCTGTGAAACAAATCTGCGATCAATCTATATCAAGAATTAAAATCTCAAAGAGCTTCTCAGTTATCAAAGGATTAAGGCAAGGATCTTACCTACCCCCTGTATTATTATTATTTTGATGGCGACCAGATTGTTATCACTGAGGAATAAGAATATCTGGAGTTCATGAATAGAAGACTACTGAAAGAATACGAAAAATGGAGAATGAACAGATGCAACACATCAGAGTAGTGGGCACTAGAGAAAACCTGTACCCGCACAGACACGTAAGAATAGAATCTTGTGATGAGAAAATATACCTAGCTATAATAGTTAAAAAACCGATGCCATACAGAAGAAGCAGAGGTAGGAAAAAGAATTCTAAAAGGGAAAAAGATAATAGGCTGTCTGAACTCGATCATCTGGACATGCTCTACCTCACGAGAAAGGAAACATCTATTACATAACACGATATTGGAAAGTATGCTTCTATATGGACGTGAAATCTGGCAACTGACGTCGAAACTGGAACGCCGCCTGCTATGAAATGGACTTTTAGAGGAAGGTAGTAGGAAAGTTGAGAATGGAAAAAATCACAAATCAAAGAATAAAAGAAACTATGAATGTCAAAGGTCAAATTCCTAGATCTTTGGAAACATCCCTCAAGCATTTTGAAAGTGGTTTTTTTGAATTTTTCCACACTTTTTTTTTTAATTTTTAATCGCGCCAATTGAACTCGGTTTTTTTCTTTTTGCAGCGACCCCAAAACCTATCCCGACAATCATACGTGACGCAAGCGAATCTGACGAAATTCATAGCCTATTTGGAAGAAATTCAACGACAGCCCTTCATAGTGACGTATATCTGCTCCCCTCCATAGACATTTGCTTCCTGGAGTTTCCCGACAACTGCACGTCGGCGAACTTCAACTCCGCGCGGATCAACGCTTGTAACCTGCGAAAAATCCACGAGGAAAACCAACGCAGCGCAGAAAAAGAGAAGTTCGAACGGATTGCTAGTTTCTCGAGGATGCCGTCGAAACGGCATATACGACATCAGAGACAGTTCATGGCGAACAAAAGGTTGTCGGAGGGCGCCAGTGATTTGGAATTCGACCTCAGGTCTCGCATGAGTGACAGTAAAGTTATTTTGACTAGGGATGAGTTACCGAACATCCAAAACAAGTTCGTTAACCGGTAGGTTCGGTTCCTGGGCTGGCGAAATGAGTGGGACGTATGTTTTTGTATATCTATGTCTTCCACGGTTAATTTTCGTAACTTCCGCGACAGTTTCTTAAAGGAGAAACCACCAAAATTAATTTTTTCATATGTGGTCCGTGGCAAGTTCGACAACTAGACAATAATACGCTATATTCGGGATGACGTAGCTCGGCCAATTGGGTTTTCAAGTTTCGATAATTAGTTCACTGAAATTTTATTGTTTGGATCCCAAACTTCGATAACTGACGTCCGCAATATAGCGATTAATAAAACGAAACTCAACCGACCCAACCGTAAGCCCGTTTTTTCACAAATTATAGACATGTTGGAGGTATTGACAAATAGATATTCAAAAAGAAACGTTTTTGAAGTAGAAAAAGACTGTTTATTTAGACGATACGGTATTAGTATTTAATATACCCCTAGGAATGTAAACATATCTTAACAACCATATACACTATTCAGTTTTGTTGTCCAGTCAATTTGTATTTATTAGATGTGCTTTATGTGTTCATTTTCGCAAATTTAGTCTGTAGTGTTGTGTAAATAGCTGACATTTAAACCTCGGTACATATTAACGAATCCAATATCAACTGTAGAAATAGCTTTTAGTATTATAGATTAAGTCTCAATAAATCCCCAAAACTACTATTTAGTCCCTTACCAAGAACTTATTTTCATCAATTTTAGGATTTAAATACATATATATTTTTTTAGAAAATGCTGCACGAAAAAGATTTTCGTAATTTCGGTTATGATCTAGGCTATTTTATTTATTTTTGTGTGTTCTGTGACCCAAACTGTCAAATGTACTTAGTTTTTCGTTTTAACTGTAAATTTTTTACGTGAAACTGGAATTTATTTTCTAAACATGAATCTTCAATTGTTAATATTTTCGCTGATAATGTAAATAATTGTATATTTGACTACGAAAATAAATTTGAATCCAGAAAAATGTGAAATTTTTTCACACACTCATTAATTGTAATTACATACTTACAAAAGATCTGTTGGATTTATTTCAGAAACATTATTTGCATTTCCAACATAAACTATTCTAAACATCGATTGTTCATTGTCCGTGACAGTAAAATCGGTATGGTTTTGCTTTGGGCTTCCTTCTTTGCTATCATTTTGAGGAACTAGGAATTGCACTTCATCCGTTTTAACACTCTCATCTGCATTTTCATTTGGGTCCTCTTCATTCAATAACTCCTGAAGCTTGTCATAATTATCAAATAAATTGACAGCATTGGTAAGCTTATGTGGAAACTTGTTCATTATAAATTTAACACATTTGATGACGGTTACTTCAGTTTTTAAGGCCTTTTCTTTCACTTTGTAAAATGATTTTAGTGGTGTAAAACAGTTTAAACAAGCGACCGGGTCTACTGTTACACTCAGATCCTACAACAATAATTATTTCAAAATATATTTATTAAAAATGAATTACATACAATTTCTGGTAAGCAAGCCCTCATAATGTCGGCATTATCTTGACACCTTTTCTCAGATAGATATTCAAATCCCTGATCTCGATCCAACGTTTTCAGACAAATTCTACACACTTTGATTGGTATATTTCTACTTGGCAAAACCCCGCTCCGTAGCTGCAGTTTTGTTCCAGGCACATACTTGTATCGTATATAATTCTCTGCATCATCTGTTAACTTAAGACATATTTACCTAAGCAATTATAATTAAACTCGTAGGGATTACTCGAAAATGATCTTCGCAACAAAGGATAGCGCCTTTGGAAGAACTTTTGCTTCCAATACTTTGCAGCCATTTTTGTCGTTCTTCCATATTAGCTCCCACTTTAAAAAATTGTTTAGTTGATACCCCCTCTACGTTCGAACATAGAGGCACGCAGCATTTTCTCTTTGGAGGAGCCATAAACGACTTTTCAAATGTTATTATTTCGAAAAAAGTTAGGTTCGCCGGTTCTCCTTCTGCTTTTCACAGTTTACATAACGTTGGGGACTCGTCCATTGTCGATTACTCTAACTTTGACCGAAAACAAGAAAGACCCAATCCAGGACCTATCACCAGCCTGAATAACGAAAACGGAAGCACTGTGAGACACAAATATACTCAAACAAGCACTAGGCTCACAACTTCTATTACAACTTAAAGAGAACGGACAATAAGTATTTGGTGGACTAAGTACAATCAGTCACATGGCTCACACAGAATGCTTCTGTGGGCAAGTTTACTAGGATCATTCGACCAAAATTTAGCAAATGGCCAATGCGTTAAAAAATGCAAAAAAACAAATAACTAGTTTTACTCGATTTATTTTAGCAATTAATTACATAAATATTACATTTTACTTCTTCATAAGTGGAATGCCCTCTTCGTGTTGCTTCGCGCTGTCGATGGGCAGTAGGCCGTTGTTGGCGTCTTCGATCGCTTTTCTGAGTTCCTTCACGCCAACCACCCCTATCAGTTTACCGATAGCGGTAACATAAGCGGTATGAATCGACATCATTGAAAATAAGGAATGTACTTTTAATAAAGACGTTCTTTCGACCAATTGGAAGGGAGCTGGATCCACGTGACATTTCGTAAAGTCCACGTCCTGGTTCATTTGTTCCTCTTCCCACGACTGCTGCTCTTTTTTCGGCAAGTCGCAAATTCTCACGGCCGTCATCTACGACGCGAAGTAACGTTACTTTAAGCTATTGCTAGTAAATCAGAGTGCTGATGCCTTACAGCCTGACGGACCATTTCCCTGGCCGATATGGATTTTCTCAAAACACCGGATTTAAGAATATTATGCCGGTCAAAAATCGTATTTCTAACATCTTCGAAAGTCTGCAGGAAAGAGCAACGACACTACTACAAACTACACACGTATAATGCCAAAGTGCGCTATAGCAAAGAACAACTAAAAGAGTTACTAAAATGGTAAACATAGGAATAAATCCTCACCAGTTTTTCTCTTGCATTGTCGCCGTCTAGATTGGACCTGTTTACCAATTGGGTCCGATTTTCAAACCCGATTTGTCTTTCTATGAGAAATATAAGCTCGGCTCGTGATATCGATCCCAACAGAATCATGTTTCGGTTATTATCTACGAGGGGGAACATTCGCACGGCCTTATTCTCTACCAAAACCAGTTTCAGATCATTGTAAGACATCCCTAGGTGCACATACTTGACGTCCGTCACCATGAAATCTTCCACGAAAATCTGGTAAATCGCTAAAACACGAAACGAGCGAAATTTATCGGTCGGTCGCGGTAGCGTAAACGCGAGTCTACCGGGTCCGTTTACAAAATACGCGACCTTACCGCTACTGCTGGGCAACAAGTCGGGCAAGAACGGCAATTTTGCCGATTGAATTCCCAAATCGTATATACTGGGCGTGAAAAGGCGCGCGATCCCATTCGCTATAAGGTTAGAGATCAGCACCGGTATGACGTAGGTGATTTGCGACGTCATCTCGAAAAGGATGACGCTCGTCGACAGCGTGTGGGTTACCGCGCCGCTCCACGCGGACGCGCCGACAGTGGCGTAGGCGCCGGGCAGGATATTAGCCATCGCGCCCTTGTATTTAACCCCTACAAAGGTTTTTGTTATAAGAAAACGGGTATTTATAAAGGGTTTATAAGAAAATTTAGCTTTTATAAGAATTTTCATAGCTTTATAAGAAAACCGTTGGTGTTACAAATTTTGTAAGTGGTCCAATATATACAAAAACTTTAGGTTTTTTAAGACTACTGAAAATTTTATTATCTTTATTATCTAATAAATGTTCCATAGGTATTGTGAAGCCTAATGACTTTTATAAAAATTACGATCTATTGTTTTCCTACATTTGGTATACTTTTAAAAGGCATGCTAGATGTAGATGTTTAGGAAAAACTAATGAAAGTTGATGTTTGCTGATTAATAGCTTTCAATTGGTTTAATGGTTCCTTTTTTTTTGGTAAATTGTGACACTATAAGTATTCCAAAATTATGTTACAGTTTTATTGCTATAAGACAAGTAAGTAACTAATGTTTGCGATGTATTTCATATCACTTGAAAGCCCATATCAAAGTATAAGTTTTTAAAAAGCGAAACAGGTGAACACGGAGTCCCTTACACGACATAAAAAAGGATTAATATAAATTTTAAACAATTTCACGAGATATAATTTATTAAAATAAAGTCGTCGTAGTAAATATTCATGGTTTTTCTCGCAACCCGTTCATTAAAAATTTAATGAAATGTTCACCCCTTATATTATTAAATCCTGAGATTCAACTATAAAATGGCATATTTCTGTAGTTTTTAAAAATTTGAGCCTTATAAGTTGGCATTTTTATCATTCATTGTCTACTTTAATGCATGTTGTCCCAAATTAGGCAGTAGACATTAACATTTTTAAAGTAGCTACATTCTTTTTTTGTTCAAATGTAACTTTAAGTGTTAAAAAGATCAAACTGTATTTTCATGTAGCCACAAATTTGTTTTTTTGTATAAATATAGCAGTTTGGCAACACTGCGCAATCGGAAGTCATTGACCGACCACAGTTAAAATTTCCCTACCACGGTACGATTTACAATGGCATAGTCAATTATAAAACAAAGAGACGAGGTGCCTCATTATTTTACCTGCTTCCACTCGTATACTAAGAATGGCAAAACACCCATTTACCTGTCATTGTTCCACCTTTGTCTATTAGGCTCTAGTTAAAAACGTCAAATGAACATATACCCGGAACACTATCCTAACTGAGCTAGAAGCATTTCAAATTTAAAAGAAACCCGTTTATTTTTTATGTTAACAGTTTTTATTCTATTGAATTAACTGTTCAAAATGTTGTATATATAGTTTAGATCTTCTTAGAATGCAAGTGGTAGTTGAACTGAGGTGGCTTTTACTTGATGAAAATCCATTTATCAAGATTAATAAGAACTAAAAGTTCAGATTTTCACGAAATTATATATTTTGATATGACAATTGTTTCAGTCAATTTATCTTGATAACATTTCAGTTGGCTGTAATTTTTTAGTTTTTAGAAACATTCAGGTAAACAAAAAAGCAAAATGAAGGGTTAGTAGCCAAGTTTTTTTCCAAGTGACGTATAAAACAAAACACTATTAATTTTCTGACATATAAGCCTGGATCATATTTTTTTAATGGAACGCCCTGTATATTATATATGTGTTTAATAGAATATCTTATTCCGATGTTATGTAACACACTTTATATTTTAGTCCACTCGTTTTTGACAAATATGCAAAAATAGGAAATTTTTATATAATTTCAGAGTGCACTGACTGACAAATAAAAATATGTTTTTCTACTCGCGTCTGTAAAATACCTAATTATCCATCGATCTAGCGTGCGGGAAGCGTCACTTTACCACGTCAGTTTCGTTTCCCATGAATCCGAGCCACTTCGGACATTTCCGGGATTTTACGGTACGGATTTGGGAGCAATCGGATGTTTTCGGAAATATTTCCCACGCTGAATTTTGAAGTTTGTCAATTCTAAGAACTAATGGTCGTAGAAAAAGTATAGTATGCAACACGTTCGGTAAACTTTTTAACTCACTCGTTTATAAAAAACTCGCTCCGCTGCGCTATACTATTATGTGTGACATATTAGTAAACAAAGTTGATGGTTCAATTATTGTCCCAGTCATTGTTAAAATGGTTTTACGCGAATTTGACAACCGTGAAAGTGATATACTTCAAATATACTTTCTGAATAATAATAGTGCAACCGCAGCTCGTCGTCAGTATGTTAGACTTCATGCAGAGCGCCGAGCTCCTTCAAGACAGATATTTCCAAGGCTGGCAAAGAAATTTACAGAACACGGTAACGTATTAAATGCTAAAAAGGTATGCCGGAATCATAATGTTTCAAATGGAGAAAATAAGGCAAACATATTAAAATTATATGAAGCACATAAAGTTTCCTCTATTACTAAAATATATGAAGAGGTATGAGATCAATCCACGCAGTTTTGAAAGAATTTAAGTAAAATACGTTTAAATTTCGCAAAATTCAAAATCTGAGCGCAGAACAATGTCCAAGGAGGATGCAGACAATCAATCAGTTAGAAGACAATCCGGAAACGATACTAAATGCAAGACATACAATTAGAGTGTATGAGAAATGTGTTCAGGAAAATGGTGGTCACGTACAGCAGTATTTAGAATAGTTAAAGAATTTTTTACTATAGTTTGTCTTGTCATATTTAGTTTTTTTATTCTACTTTAATTTGTATATAATTATTGTTGTTGCAGTCAGTCACGGCACTCTTGAAATTATATAAAAATTTCCTATTTTTGCCGATTTGTCAAAAGCGAGTGGACTAAAATATAAAGTGTGTTACATCATTGTAATCGGAATAAGATATTCTTTTAAACACATATATAATATACAGGTTGTTAGATCTAAAAAATATGATGTAGGCTTATATGTCAGAAAATTGATAGTCAGATGCAAAAAAACTTCGCTTCTAACCCTACATTTTGTTTTGTTTTTTTGTTTACCTTAATATCTCTAAAAACAAGAAAGTTACAGCTAATTCAAATGTTATCAAGGTTAAATTGAACGCACGCTACAGGTAAAATGTGGTGCGAGTACAAACCGAAATTGTGTAAAGATCTCTCATCCGGCTTACGTTAAATCTATTACCTATTTCGGTAGAAGGTTGAGCATGAATTGTATTAAGCTTTGTCTTTTCTTGGTTGAATGGGATGTTCAGAAGTAGCTGTAGGAAACTTGCCTGTTTCTCTCAAACATCGATGGACATTGCTAAAAACAGGCACAAGGCACTCGTATGAGTGGGAAATCGTCGACGATATTAACAAAGTGAATGTCGGCATATTCTTCATTCGAAAAAGGAAACATTGTACCTTAAAGAGTATTTTAATGTAACACACGAAGATAAACAAGCAAAATTAATTTAATTGACATTTACTGTCACAATACATAAGCCACCTGAACTTTTTAATAAGTTTCTTTTTAAATGTTAAAGTTAGAAGTTACAAAAGGAGTTTCGGATATATGTTCATTTGACTTTTTTCAATTTGAAACCACCCCAACAATACACTCCCAAGCTAGGAGTCATATCATGGGACACCCTCTATATTTAATATGGCCAATATATTATAAAAATATTGGAAGTGATGCAAACAGCAGTAAGTGGTATGTGTTTGGAAGGCAGATCTCCAGACAGTTAGGAAAGAAAATTGGATCAATTTTATAACACATACAGAAAATGTAATAAAAGAATATTGGGAAAAAGAGAATACACTTTATACAACGGTAATACCACCATAAATGTAGACGAAGGATAATTTTCTGGTAGTAGCAGTTTCAATTTTTGCTCTGATGATGAAAATGTTTCATTGTAAATACAAACTAAATATGGTTAATTTGTATATTTACTCTTGGACAATTATATATATTATAAATAAAACAATACAAAAAAAACGGAAAATATATATATATATATATATATATATATATATATATATATATATATATATATATATATATATATATATATATATATATATATATATATATATATATATATATATATATATATATATATATATATATATATATATATATATATATATATATATATATATATATATATATATATATATATATATATATATATATATATATATTGTTTTATTTTATTTTATTTTTGAATGCACAGAGTTTTCGGACAATAGTTTATTTAACAAATTTTAATAATATTTTCATGTAGATTCTCCTACTTAGGTACTCGCATATTATTAACAAACATGAATCCATCTCTGTATTCTGATTGTGTCTTACTCTCAAGTGATATAATTGTGATCCCTATTGATGGCTGTTTTGCATTAATTAATTAATACATTTAGGGCGGAACTACATCTGCTGAAATATAAGTGGCAGCAAGATGAATCTATTTTATTCCGTATGGCGTTTTATTGCCGCCTATGCCATCACAGATCGTACCGACTATAGTGAATGGGTGTTATCGAAATGGGGATTGCTGACCTTGGGGGAACCAAGTGACCATCAGTTCTCCTACGATTCTTCCGACCGCGGCTCCGGATCGAAAATTAGGTATAAAGGTGCCGCAGGGGATCGGCATCGACGCTGCCAAAATCGAAAAGACGAACTAAAAATCGATGATGGCTGAAAATCTGTCGGCACAATTCGTCGGCGTCATTGATGTACCTGGTACCATATAAAAATCGACAAGTTCGCGTAGATTCCCGTGTACCTGGTGGTCCAATGTTTGAGGACGTCTTGTTGAGCGACTGTGTGATTCGGAGACGTCCAGCTGAAATCACTAAACAGCTGGACGACTTGGTCCCGCGCCGTCAGATCTGCCGCCATGAATTGACCAATACCGGGCGGCCAAGTCACCGTCGATACGAGCAATACTACGAAGCACGGATACGCGAAGCGACTTGAAAAAAACAACAAATTTTTCTTGGGGAAGAGGTTATTGGAGATAATGGCACATCAGTTAAGGGGAAAGGGTAACTCCGAATTTTGTTATCGAATTACGCCTAGTTTAAAAGAGCTTCCCTTACTTACACACAATAACAACATGCATTTGAAAATAAACGCTACGCTGAAAAAAATTATTTGCTTTAAAAAAAATTAGTTATTTGAAAAAAAAATGTGTTTGATAATGACCTAACAAATATTTATTCGAAATTTTGGAAAAATTAATTATTTATACTGAAATTGTTTGTATCAAATAAATGTGTTTTTTATATTTCACAAGTATTATTTAAGTGAAATAAACGTTTATTGGATTTAAAGGACTGTTCGTTTCTTGTTTGTTTTAATACAAAAATGTTTTTATATTAACTGACTAAATAGTTGATGTAATAAATCACATATTTAGCACAAATACTGCAAAACAAGTCAACATTCAACGTACTTGAAACCCAGAATCATAGTCCTGATAAGTTTTAAATGAAATTGTCAAACATAGAGGCATACTCACTTGCACTCCTTTATCCTACTGATGACTTTATGATTTTTAAGCCACCGATTAAATCCCTTTGCGCAAAATATGTAGAAAGATCCGCCGCATCCGCAGAGGACCCTTTTGAAAAGAAGAAGTATCCTAATTAATTCTTTAATTCGCCATATTCGCTCTTCTAACGCATGCGCGTTAATAAAAAACAAGGAGATTAATCTGGTCACAGACTACTAAACAATACCGAATCAAAAGAACTGCAGCTTGACAGTTGCAAATTTCAGAAAGCTGCGGCCATTTTATAAAAGCATAGAACATCAAAACCAAATCGTAGGTACACGTTAGGAAGTTTTACCTTGGGCTTTGTAATAATTTGATCTATAATTTATTTTTTGATAGTAATGAACAGTTTGAGTAAATAATAATAAAATCTTAATTGGGCTTAAATTCTCGCAGTCAGCAGCGACTCACTTATTTTCATAGAATATGCAGCGGCTTAGTCGTTAGAGTGAAAAAACAGATGGCAACACACAAAAATTTGTTTGGCTTCTGGGTCTGAGATTTCGCCTAAAGAGGCTAAAAGAAAAATATGTGCTTGTCGACTATGACAGTTCTTTTGCGTTTCCTGTGGACAAAAAAGGGTACATTCTGAACAATGTTAGTATTTTTGTAAGATAAGGCTTCAGTAATTTAGTTACATATCTTAACTAGGGTAGGAGATATTTTGTTTTAAAGTAATATAATGCTTACAATGCCTGTAATGCTATTACTTTTTATTCACTTAGTGTATCTATTTAGTAAGTAAGTGGCCATCCAGAAACTTTTGTGCTAGCTATGCTAAGAAGGAACTTTTAATAATTGCTTTGAAAATAACTTGAATAACCATACAATGTACATCACTATGATAAATTGAAATAATATTTACTTTAACTTTTCAGCACTGGGATAGTTTTGGAGTGTGCATGAATCATTTATTCAAATTCAAATGCTTTTGCGGTGGAACTTAAATAACCATAACTATTGTCAGTTTCAACTTTGAGAAGTCGGCCCCTTGAGATCAAAAGTGCCGAAGCATAATTTTTCTTCCGTGGGGTTGGAGTATTCAGTAACATGCTTGTCAATACTGTCAACATTGTTCAATAACGCTATATGAGGACAAAAGTTACAAATCCGTGCGGTTAAAGAAAAATTGTAGCACCACGCATCAGTTTTGTTTCAATAACCAAGATAAAGATAAGCAAAAAAAGCTCCTTCACTCGTTGTGCTTATTCATAAATCACCAAAACGTCTGTATTCAATGCTCTCTAATTTAACGCAAACAAAATGTTAAAATCAATAATCTAATATCACTATTACTATTATCGGGTGTGCCGCAGGGATCGCATTGCGGACCCATGTTCGATTTGTTTATCTTTGATGTAAATAAGTAGGTTTGTTTATCTATTTGCGGATAATATTAAGCTACTTTTACTAATAAAATCGCCAGTCACTTCAGATACCATTTTTCGTTTGCCAAACTTGAACGGTTTAGATTTAAATATCACAGCATCACATTTTGTGGAAAAACTTCATCCCCTTAGTTTGAATATGAAATAAATTCTACTTCTTTAGAGGGAGGAAGCGAATTTAAGGGCATTGGAGTATTAATTGATAACAAAGTTTGCTTTTTAGGAATCATATATGAATAGCCGATAGTATTGGTGAAATAAACAATATGAGAAAAAATTAGCTGCTGTGAAAACTATTTCTGATTGCAGCAAACAACCAGAACCGAAAACTGTCTCTATAAGTCTTTTCAAAATAAATATCGGAAATTTAATAATAATTAATTATAAGCGAAAATACTCTAAAAAACAAGATCAACTGTGGTGATATTTCAGCAAATGAAGTCAATTAATTTTTTACTAACTTTGGCTCCCATATTCTGAGGTCTTAAACAATAAAATCAGAGTTACAGAGGGAATATCTGAACAATTGTACCTGCTTTTTCAGCAACTTTCTTCCTACATGGGTTTGCCAAAGTAGATGTGTGTGTTGTAGATTTGAAAAAATCAGGTTAATTTGACTATTTTGATATTAACCGTATAGTTTTTAAATAGCTTATTGAATTTATATTGACACCACTTACTTCACAGATGCATAGAGGAGGGAATTTCCCCTGAATATTTCAAGGTGTCCAGGGTTGTAAACGATTTAAAAAAAAATACCAAACAATTTCAGGCCAATGACTGGATGAGTCCCAAATAAAAAAACATGTATGCTATTTACATAGCAAAAATTGGATATGCACCAAGTTGGTACCCACCTTTTAAATATTGAGAATCATGCCCCTTCCATATCTGTACATCAATTATCAACTGCACAGAGGCAGAGACACGCTCAGGCTGAACTCCTATTACTATGAATATTCTACCCCGAAAATGTGACTTATTTCGCAACAAAAAATTTAAATATAGTAAATCCCAAAAGAAATCGTTAAATGGTAAGGCGCTGAGTCATAAAAAAAATAAATTTTATGCAAACCATAGATGTACGAGGGCAGCGCCAAAATTTCCCGGCCTGAATATGAAAGAAACAAAGTAGAGTAACAATTTTTTATTATTTTTCAATATAATCCCCCTTAACTTCAATACACTTATTATATCTCTTTATTAACAACTTAATCCCTTTAAAAGAATATTCTTTTGGCTTGTCTGCAAAATGAGCTAAAACAGCCTCGTTTAACTCAACTTCGTCGGTAAACCGCCGTCCACGTAAGTCCTTTTTCAAATATCCAAACAAATAATAGAAGCTGGGGGCCATATCTGGACTATAGGGAGGATGATCTATCTGTTGGAACCCACACTCTAAAATGGCAGCTTGTGCAACACCAGCAGTATGGACAGGTGCATTATCGTGCAAAAGACGCACGCCTCTGGTCAGTTTTCCCCGACGTTTTATACGTATGCAGTCTCGCAATTTATGTAATAATGTTGCGTAATATTTACCATTGACAGTGGTATTAATTTCTTTAAAATCTATTAAAAGAATTCCGTCATAATTCGTCATAAAAGATCGTGGCCATCACCTTTTTTGTTGACTGGCACAGTCTGAATTTTTTTGGAGGTGCTTCACCCTTACGACGCCACTCCATTGATTCTTTTTTCGATAGAGGGTCATAATAGAAAACCATAGTTTCATCTCCCGTCACAATACACAGAGTTCCAAAAAAGACCGCGCACACTCGACACGGCGTTGTTTTTGAATAGCCGAAAGGTTTTTAGGAACCCATCTTGCACTAACCTTATGCATACCTAAATGATCATGCAGGATTCGACGAACACTTGAATCATAAAATCTTAGTAATTTCTGAGATTTCCTTGACCTTTAAACGTCGATCACTCAATACCACCTCTTCAACAATCGCAACAATATCTTCCGTTATGACCTCCACTGGTCGACCAGTTCTAGAATCACATTCAAGGGACTCCTGCCCCATTCGAAAACGTATTGCCCATTCTTTCACTACAGAATACGAAAGAGAACTTTGACCGTACACACCATCCAGCCTTCCTTAAATAATTTTGCTAACCCTTCTTTTGTTAAAAACTTTATGACTGCTCTATACTCAATTTGCGCTATTTGCGACGTTTTTACGGATACGTTTTGTTTAAAATGCTGTCAATAAAAAACTATTTGACGCAAGATTTCAATTTTTTTTTTCGCAGCCTATAAAGATTACAAAGAAGACAAAGTTTTATGATGATACTGGAGCTGGGAAATTTTGGCGCTAACCTCATATCTTAGGCAGGCATTTTGCAATTTTTGGTCTTTCAGTCTTAGAGTCATCCAGTGTATGCAACGTCCGCATATCCCAATAGAGAGAATATGAGAGAGTCACAACAATTTAGGTCTAATCTCAGTAGATAAGTCTTTATACATGTAAAGTACTTTCAGTTTACCATAGGTGGGTAAATAAACCAAGTGAGAATCAAAAAGCAACTTACTATCAAGAAAGGCTCCTAGGTTTTTACATTGGTCGACAAAATCAAGCTACCACTGTAACCCACGTAATCCTCTACTAGCGACCTCCCAAGCAACTTTTCATAAAAGAAATAGCAGTGTCGCTTAAACCAAAGTACTTTAAAATAACAAAATTATGATTTTAGGCATCAAAGGTATCAACAAAACAGCATTTTTTGACACATCCTGGGCCATAAAAAGGTGACATTAAGTAGTGCTGTGATCGTACTGTTCCCGGACCTAAACCCAGTTTGGGAAGTAAATAGTTGAATCAGCAACATGATTATTATGTATAATATAATAATAATGTGCATCATATTAGCCTCCTTCCAGAATAAGGGAAATTTGGAGGTAATAATATATTAGTTGACAATCAGTCTTTAATCTTTTGTACTTATTTCTCACTATCAAATTAACAGTTATTGAACGTGCTGGATCTTTGGTTAAATTTGACGTTTTCGGGTGAGCATGAATATTGAGTAAATTATCTAGATTTTTGTAAAACAAAGAAAGCAACTCATCAACAACGGTCATACCATAAGCAATATTCAAAGGAACAAGAAACAAGAAAATGGTCTCGCGATAAGGTCGATATGACGTTTGAGGCTCGCTAGTAACTATGTCATATCAATTCGACTAAGGTTACCAGCAAGATTTCTAAAAGACGATAGCAATATATCAGTTATCCTTGTGGGTTGTATTTGTCTGGTACGACACTTGTAACTATTACTACCCGTATTAATAATATCAACATTAAAATCAACTCCAAAACACAAACAATCAAACTGCGGCATCAGAATGGCCAAAGCAACCTCAACATCATCCAAGCAGCTAAGCAAATCAGCGCTTGTGGAGCGATAAAGGATGTTACTATCTGTTTATAAAAGTTCTTGCTGCACGTGCTTACAGAAGCTTAATTTTTAATTATAGACTTAGTTCAAATTTATCACCACCTGTATGTAAAAAGTTGTACGGTGCCTTCGCTCGTTCATTGATGGAGTATGCAAGCCAAATATGATTATAGAGTGCACATTAACAGAACTAAAAGTAATGCGCACAAAAATTTTATACCAATTGCCGCATGTAGACTGACAATTTCTAAAGTAATGAGACTCCACCAACACTCATGTTTTGCTTTTAATCAAAAGAGAAATTTACTCTAGCTATCTATTATCTAAAATGAATTTTAAAGTATCCTTGTATAAACGTTGAAATGTATTTGCTTACTATGCATGTCGAAGCCTCAGATTCCATCGGCGATTGGCATCACACTTCATAGCCGCATGACTGATTTAAATGTTTGACCACCATGTGACAATGAACGTTTTAACTGTGTTTGTCTTTCCTCTTTAGAGCGATTAATGTGCTTAGTTTTTTTTTTGACATGATAATAGGCAAAATCAACACCCATAACCCAGTACCGAACATATTTGCTCACGAGATTGTCCTAATTATCAAGTACACTCACCCCAATACCGCGAAAGCGACCAATTCCCAAGGATCGTAAGGAAATTGATTGACGAAATTCGTGGGGAACACCACCCTTATAGTGTCCGCCCCGTCTATCCAGACGTAAAGGAGTCTGTAGACGGCGGCGCCCCATACGGCCGCGAAAAATCCTCTCCAGTAGTTCCTCACCGCATAATACGCTGTAGATATTTCCACACTGAAGAGGACACCTCCGACAGGGGCGTTAAAAGTACAAGCCACGCCCACGGCGTACGCGGCACCAATCAGCTCGATCTTCTTGTTCTCGTTGGCGTACATGCTTTTAAAACTGGATAAGAACTTGCTCATTTTTGTGACGATTATGCTAGACATTTGGATCAGCGGTCCTTCTTTACCCAAAGGCATACCGCTTCCGATGGTGGCCGTTATACCCATCCACTTGGCCGCCAGCACCTTGAACGTGAGGAATTCTTTGAGGTAGACGCCTCGCAAGCAGGTTTTTATTTGGGGAACGCCGGACCCTGAAAGTGGGAAAGTAGGGAGGGCTTTAAATGAACGCGAAATAGTCTTACCGACAGCTTTGGGCGCGATGAGTGACGTAATACCCACGTCCCATAGGATAAGACAGACTGGCACGGAAATCCAGGCGACCCATTTGGCGAAATACTTGTCAGCCAGTTCCGTATACAGCATCATTCTCGCTAAGAAAGAAAAGTTAATAGAGAAATATTTGGGCACTTTGAACTAACCGTTTTGTGTATATGGTATGAAAACACCCGATTTTTCTTAAAAGATATCTTCTCTCAAGTTATAACAAAAAAATCAAATTTATGATTTTTCTTGCTTTTGTAACTTTCTGTTTTTTTAAAATCTATTTCAGAAAGCTGAAGTGAACTTTGAACCAATCAATGCCAAGCTTTCATTGCTTGGCATTGATTGAGACTTCCCAATAGGGTTCCTACATTACACGGAAATAGAATTTTAAATTTTATGATATTCTTTCATGGCGTATTGAAATTATAGTGAACAGGTAAACGACCCTATTAATCAAGTAGTCCAGTTCCCACATTTTCTTTCCTCTCAGCCAACATCACAACATCCTCCATGGATTGATCAGACACTAGCTTCAGATTTTTCATTTTCTCGTTACTCTCGTAGTAAAAAAAATTGGACAGTCTTAAATCTAGCTATGAAAGTAATAAAAAAATAAGAAAGTCGCCTTATTCAAATAAAAGTAAGATGAGTGTATAAAATACATGAATACATGAATAGCATAAATAAACCAAGTTATAACCAAAACAAATCACTTCAAAAATCAGAAATCAAAATAACGCAAAATCACTTTGACTAAAAGGAAGTGTACAAGATAGCAGATCTACATATAAAAATACATATAAAGATGGAAAAGTATTAAAAGAATTAAAAACATAAAAATATTAAAACATCATCGACTTTCTATTTATCAATATTCATGAATGCTTCGAACTCTTTGAGTGTGTTGAATGTGTCGCTAAAAAGTAATTCTTTCAAATTTGACTTGACACTGTTGATGAAGTTTTAATTTATTTGTTAATAACTACTCAAATAAAACAGGTAAAATTCTGTATGCCTTAAAAATTCCTCTACATAATTGTCTGTAAAGAATATTATAAAGCAATCTATTCGCTTCTGAATCACAAAAAATGTGTCAACCTTTTTAGTTCCACCCCATAAAACTATATTATAGCTAATTATGCCATGCACTGCACTATAGTATACGCCCTTTAGTTCATTTAACCTCAGAGAGTTCCTTAACTTCTTTATTAGAAACGCGCTCTTGTTGAGTCTTTTACAAAGACTGTCGATATGATCTGTCCAGTCTAGATTTTTATCAATTTTAATGCCCAGAAAACTAATTATAGGCGAGAATGTCCCTCAAAATCAATCGCAAAACCGTTTGGATCCCTTTAACCATTGCATATCTTAAGCACATTCATTTTTAATTTTATTTTTTTTTTTTAATTTAATTTTAATTATATTTCATATAACAATGTTCCTTGAAGACACATTGAAACTTGGTGGCCTTCCATGAAAGTTTGGCGAGCAGTGGTTTTATTTTTATTTTGCCACATTTTGAGTACTAGTACTACAAGTTACATTAATCCTTATCTCAACAAGATCAAATATGTTTTTCTGTTCTCTTCAATGTGACTTTATATTTCTCAAATATTTTTGTCAGCAGCAAACATCGAAATTCGGCGGAATTGGGCATATTAGTACCCACCACGTTTCTGCAATAGCCTATAACTATTTTCATAGGGCCTTTAAATTAAATCTTTGAAATAGTCCAAGAAATTTTAAAGCTTCCTCACATTATATTATTTTTTCATTAAACTATTACCAAATCGACGTCATAAATAAATTATTTTACAATATATATAAAAGTAATTTATGCCATTATTTTTCTTTTAATCAACTATGTTTGGTGTGGAAAGTTCCACGTACGTATCAAATGAAAAAAGGAGATTTGGAAACTTGGACACACATTTGATATTTATAGATAATTTTGAAATATTATTTGCAATCTGAAATATGTATAAAAATCCAAAAAGTATGATACAGGAAGTTCCTATCGGAATCCTTCCTGACATCAGGAGGATGCAGTTTGTCACCTATGCCATGGAATTTAAAATATGGATATCCAGGAGGCATTGAAAATGGGGAGAAGGAGTGGAGCTATGGGAGATCGACCGCCACTGCTATCGACTTTGTTTTTCGTCCAAATTATCATTGTAAGAACGATGCCGATTATATGTTTAGGAATACCTGACCGTAAGAGTAGTAGTAAGAATAAATTAAAAGGTGTAGAGAATGTAACTATTTAGGAAGTATTTCTATCACAAGAAGGAATCTCCAAGATTGACATACAAACCAGAGACCTGCTAAACCCTATTCTGTGGTCAAGTAAAATATCCATGCCGCAATCAAAGCTAAGGATTTATAAAGCAATCGTACACACGTGTCTAGCATATGGTGCCGAATACTGCCCATTTACATTAAAAGAAAGAAGGATGACAACGACAATGGAAATAGACCTTCTAAGAAGGGCGTGTCGAATATCAAGGCCCGAGCACCTCAGGAAAGGAAAGGATCAGACGAAGGACGACATCGACAAACATTGAATCAACAGAACTACTATAGTATGGACACGTAAAGAGAACGGGAGAGGAGATGTAGTCAAAAAGATCAATGGAGTATTCTCCCCAAAATAGAAGAAATATGGTTAGATGGAATACAGCAATATATGAGGGATGGAGCTCAAAAGCTTGTTATCGTGCTCTTCGAGAAAATTTTGGAAGCTCAGAAGGAGGACCTTCGGAGAGCTGTATGACGAAGGGCTGAAAAGATACCAAATGCGTTGTGCGCCGTTCTCAGTAACTGAGTTTTACATAAAAATTCGGGCCTACACCCATCTAAGATGGTTCTAATCCTAGCCTATCGACCATGCTTTGCGAAGAACATTTAAAGGTTATACACTTCTGCAGTTAGAAGAAAACGCAAAACCAACATCTTGTCAGATGAGGTCCATGTGTGGCTTAATGGCTTTGTGAATAATAAGTACTGGAGAGTACATTAAATTCCGCGTGTTCCTACTTTTTTGAGGATGCAAGTTGGCCTACTGTAACAGTGAACGCTATCGCACGATGGGGGCCAATGAATTTATTGAAGGAGCATTTTGAGGTGCGAATAATTTCCAAACGTGGTCGAATCAAGTGGCCGACAAAGTTTTGTGACCTTGCTCCTCTAGACTTTTTTTATGTAGTCCCAACACTAGCGACGACTTAACGGCTAATAAAGAACGAGTTATTCTTACTGATATCTATTATATACAGTGTGTCGCATTTAAGCTGAAGACCCTATACTTGGGCTATCTAAATAAAAAAAGAGATTTGAATATTTGCACAGTCATATAGTTTGATGAGGTTGATGTTTCACATTTTTTCCTATACCCAACTGAAATTTAAATTTAAAGGGCACTTACTGCTAATCCACAAATAGGGACAAATTTGATATTTAGCTTCGCGTTAGAGATATCGGTTATTATTATTAAAATACAAGTTACCAAATTTTATAACAAAATTCGGGTTTTTAGTTTCTTCATTATTTTGATCAAAACCATCACAAAATTAATCCTCCATGTCAGCTTAATATTAGTAAGGATAAAATCAGAAAATCCATCACAAAATCAAGTCCCATACACCAAAGTTGCTACTCACATTAAGAGAAGGTGATGAGAATAAAAGATTAGATTATTGTTATTGGGTCAAAGGTAATTTTTTAAATGACAGGCGTTTTTTGCAGAAGATTATCGTTACCGTTGAGGCTACATTCACCACCAAGGCTTTGTATCATCTCAAAACTGTTGATACTGCGCCAGAAATGGTTTCCACCGGTTAATGTCGACAGACATCAAATGAATTGGTGAAAGGCCGAATAATTATTGGTTTTATTATAAATTAGATTCTTCGCCGGTGTACACATATACGCTTAGCTCGATGTCGGAAACGACAGATCGTAACAGGCTTTTGTGTGGTTTCTCCTTTTCGGTTTCATTTGGGCTTATCTCCACACCTATACAAAGTTTGATTGATATCGGCAATATAATTTGTACTAGATGGCTACTGCATTAAATAGTGATCAATTTCTTGAAAAGTTAAATGCCCTAATAAGAAGTAAATGAAAAGACAATTGTTTTCATTTTTCCAAAAGAAAGGTACTCTAAAATCGTTTCTGAAGTAGTTTCTGCAGTCCTCATTTGGACTACAGACGTTTAACACGTTATGACATTTAAAAAACTAGTGACGGACAACAGGAGAAATGAATATCCAGTTTTATGTTGCAAACGAAGAGTTATTTAATATAGAGTTGGCAAACTATATACCGTTTTTACGACATTATCGAGTATATAATTTTAGTAATTTTTTATGAAGGTTTAACGCCAGTAATACGTCGCTTGGGCTTCTCTTTGCATCCCTCAATAAATAGATTCACAATTCCACAATGACGTTCCAGAACCGTATTTTGGTACTTCGTGCATACAAATGCTGAAAGCTGGCCGGATTTGTGCAATTTCATCGTTGAAAATCCTCGATTATTATTGGTCCATACAATGAAAAATCCATTCTTACTTTAAAATGTGTATTCTAAATATAAATTTAGCTATAAAACAATGTGTCACTGGACTCGTCCCCTACGTTAATAATTAATACTGGCACTAGTTATAGATTCTACACATTTTTTCCAATCAGAAGTAAATATTTTTTCTACTTCATTTCTAATTAATTCTATTGCCCCAGAACTAGATTTCGGCGAGGTGTTGTTTCTTCTTACACTGGGTTTCAGCTGTCCCCATATCAGTTCTATCGGATAAAAATTGCAGTGACATGGTGGAAGACGGACAACTTTGAATCGCCGCTCCATGGTCACATTATACTTCTTATCAAACTTTCCCGTCTTAAGAACTTCCAATAGCATCTTCTTTGTGCAGAAATTTTCAAAATTTTCAAGCAAAAAATTTTGAATAACTTCTTTAGTCGATGATGTGTAATGTTGGGAAGCAAATTTTCAGAAAACCATTTTTTAAAGATGTCTGATTTTATGTTTTCGTGGGAGTCAATCTTTGCTTCTTTGACATTTTTGCACAAAGCAACAAAGCGTTATCTACTATCTACTATCTATGTTAATTTGTTTGTCCTGCGAAACTGGCCCATCCAACGAACATTTCCTGCTATTACGTCGCTATCGAATCAGGTCCCATCTAAATATGTGATGGGGTTGTTTTTAGCAAGAATTAAAAAATTGGCACACTGGATCTTAAAACACAATTCAATAACAGTAAGTTGGTACTTACTTATTACAAGCACAAGATGGAATAGAAATAACTACAAAGCTTCGACGGCTAAAAAAATACTGTTTCATATAACTGACAGCATACTCCGATTTCACCAACCCCCACAATTCAACCAATAGAAAGCTGGGAAAACATCTGTTATAAATCCATTATATACATAGATTTTATATTTTGTCACTGTGTCATTGTGTTAAACCTTTAAATTGGAAATCAGTTTAAGTTTTATAATGCGTTTTTAATATAGGCGATCAATCTATCTAATAGGGAAATTCAACTTGAAATAGAGTTATCTCAAGCAGGGATTGTTTTAGGAAGATTTATAAAAAAAACACACTAATTTGAATTAATATATCAGTTGAATCAAAGATAATTTCCCTACTCTAAGATACAACAGTCCCCACGGCACAGTTCTTCTCGGCTAACATCTTGACTTGTGTTACACGTGCTGAATATAATGGTCTCTTCGCTTTACAACAGGCGGGTCTTAAACTCATTCGGAAGCCAAAACCATAAAACGCTGTAAAAACGGTATATCGGTAGGCGAACTTTACTCCCGAAAGTCGGATGGTTAGAGAAGTCCAAGTGAAGTACAAAAATATTATTCAAATTTGTGTAAACAATTTTAAATGGAACACAGTGTGTCTAAACAGGGCATTGTTGTAATACCTAATACCAATGAGGAGTTCAGTTACGACAGTTAAAAACCAAAATACCGTAAGAAGTTGCATATCACCTTCTTCAATTTTTTTAAATATTTGATGCTATATTACATTCGGACAATGGCAGAGAGTTCAGTAATCAAGTCGTATCTTAACCATGACTTATGTGGAAAACACAAGGCTCAGTATACAACCTATTACGCCTTCATTTAAAGTGCTCACTAGGCAGCACCAGTTTATTCATTCAATAAAAGTAGCTGCAATAGAGAATCTGCTATTCTAAGCAAGAAAAATGTTGGGAACTTCAAGACAAAGACCTTGAAGTAGCTTTACATGCGTAATGAATTTGCAATTTAGAAAGACACTTTCCATGGATGAGATTTCAGCTCAAGAAATTTCAGTAATTCAAAAAGTGAAAAGCAAGGCTATACTTGCAATAACTTCTTTATGTTCATTTGAAAACTTCTTGCATATTTTAATTAAAATAACTAACCTATAAATTCTTGCGAACATGCAACATGATGAATGTTGACATTCGCTGGTGGCAGTTAGAAGTAACGGTATTTGACGAATATACCGGACATAAGCCAAGTAACTTAATGGACGTTGACATTCACTGGTACATCGTGACAATCACCAGTTTTTGGACTTTCACGATAACATATATATAAAATACCTTCCTTAACCGGCTCGGAAACTTCTATAGTTGTGTATTACCTTTGCCGCACATAGCTATGCCTTGGTCTATGGTGTAGCTTATAATAGCCACGAAAATTCCTAAGAGAGCTAGGAAAATCCAATCTTCTCCAAATTGTCCGAAGGTGTTTCGCCATATTTTCGCGCATATCGTATAAAATTTTCCTAAAAATTGTCCCGCTTTGTATCGAAATATCAATTTAAAATCTCATTTACAACTCTCCTGAATTCCTCCTGGGTTGTTCATATATTGAATATAAACGGATCGTAAATCGAAATACATTTATGGATGCTTTTGAGAACAAAACCATAGAAAATTTTTATCAAAAATCAAAACCATGAGATGTTCTCAATTGGTAAATTGTTATACATCCTAATATACAATTTACAACTGGATTAGAAACTAATAATTATTTCGCATTCTTAGATATTCTTATCAATAGAAAATACGATCTTATATTGGGTATTTACTAAAAAAACCTATGCACACAAACTGATATCCTAATGCATCGGTTTGTCAACTATTTCAACGCGAATCACTGAACCCAGAATTAAAACACCTTATATCCGCTCTCCTCTCAAATAAAATGAGTATGAAAGCAATCCCACACTTGCAACTTTGGTCTTTCCCTACATTCAAAACATTATATACCAAAAGTTCTTGGAATATAATAGTCTACGAGCCAGTGGGCGGCTACCTGCCTGTATTTGATCAGACCTGGGTTTTTGTACATTGAGGCCCCTATACCTAATATACACGATGTGGGGACCGACTGAGCCAAAGCGGTGGACCGAGGTACTGCGCAGATGAGACAGGTATTGATTTTTGGCGAATTTTAAATATATTTGACCACGGCTGCCTTTTTGAAATATTAAAATATATTATTATTATTATCGAAAAATAACAATGGCAGACCATTAGCATGCGGTTAACATTATGGCAAACAGTTTTGAAAATGCTCAAAAAATTAAAATTCTATTACTTGACCAGGTCTGCCATTGAGATATATTAGTCGTTATAGTCTTAAAAACTTATATTAATAATGGCAGACGTTTTTATTGAGTACACTCCTCAGTAGATAACATAATCTTTACTACTACCCCGACAGATGTATACATACACTGCATATAGCTATCTTTTTTCTTTCTCCTACTATTCTACTCATGCCAGCTTATAGTATTTTCTTTTATAGCTACTACCACTTAAATAATTTAGAGTTTATACCCGAGATGGCTCTGTTATAATCCCAACCTAACGGTTTTTGTCAGATGTTTTCAGAATGTTTGTGAATCTCTATACAGATGCCTCGTGTTTAGTGTTGCTTTATGTTAATTTTCTTGAATTAAACTAATATTCGTTAAATATCTCTGAAATTATGTCGGGTGAAAAAGAACTAGTGAAGTGTCTTTTTGTGCCACAGCAAAGAGTGAGAAATTATTGACATTTTCAAGAGAGACGATAAAAAAATGTCGACAAATTTTGAGGTTAGGAAAACATTGTAAATTAAAATACAATGAAATAATTCTACCGGACGAAATTTTTGATTCTGTATATCACAGTAGGTGTTACAAAGCGTTTACGGCTTAAAAAAAAATTGTAACCGATCTCAACCAAGAAGCTGTATTTACAACCCACTACGTCGTCGTCTGCAACTGAGCAACCGTCAACATTGGCTGATAGCTCAATAACTGATGATACAATAATACTTGATAATCTTGTAAAAGAAGTAAACGTTTCTGAGACAGATGAAGTCGTAGAAAAAGATATTGGCGCTGAATTAGATCAGTCGTTGGAGGAAGGACCCTCTGAAGATTCAGAAGAATCATCGACTCCAGCAGAGATAAAAGTGTGTTTTTTTTTAAATAAAAAGATAAAACAATATCGCTCTAAGTATGAGCCATTACGTATTTCAGAAAAAGATCAAATAAAAAAAAGAATGTTATTGAACTTCAAGCCAGATACTGACATTTACAAAGAAATTTTGACAAAAATAGAAAGTGTTGTCTCTTGTCTTTGTAAGCAAAATTTCAGAAATCAAAAAAGATGACTTGTTAATCGAATAGAATGTTATAAATTGTTGTTATTTTCTAACATATTTACATAAAGAGTATCTCGATATGTTTAAAGAATTAAGTGAAGCCTCAGCTGCAACATCAATATTCTCCGCACAAAAAATCAAAGAACGCAGATGATAGAAGATTTCAGTTACGCGTGAGTAGTTACAAAGCTTCGGATGTGAATGAAAATTTTATTTAAAAAATGCAAAATTTTGACGCAACCTCAATACCACCATGTAAGAGTGGAAATTTGGAAAAACGCTTACAAAAAGCAACCTTCAACCTTGGACCCATTGGAGTATGGTTGGATTGAGCAGGACAACACATTGGTCTTTAAATGGTTCGATGGAGATCAACTTCCATCTTTTTTTAGCTACTTAATTACCAATGTCCCTGGTAAGTTGATAAAAAATAATTCTTTATCAAATATGTTCGGATCAATTTACTAATTATTTATATTTTACAATTTACGGTTTATTTTTACAGAGTTCGATTCAATGGATGATGAAGAAGAGTTAAGTAACCTACGACAAACATGACTCCGACACCTTTCAAATTTTGTTTTAAATAAATAAAAAAAAATTGAAATAGAGATTTGAATTTTTTTTTGTTACTTGCATTATACCCCAAAATTTCAGATTATTTCGTAATATATCTACTTGATTTATCATCAATCTTATAATGTTTAGTATATAAAGTACAAACAAATATTAATTTCAATACATATAGTGATAAAATTAATTATATGTGAGTTAAATTTATGTAAAACAGCGATCGTAATACATATACATCTGACCGGGTAATAGTAAAGGTTTTGTTATCTACTGAGGAGTGTACTCAATAAAAACGTCTGCCGTTATTAATATAAGTTTTTAAGACTATAACTAATAATATATCTCAATGATAGATCTGGTCAAATACTTTCAGAATTTTAATTTTTTGAGCATTTTCAAAACTGTCTGCCATAATGTTAACGTTAATGTTAATGTTAAATGCTAATGGTCTGCCATTATTATTTTCGCTAATAATAACAATATATTTTAAGATTTCAAAACGGCAGCCGTGGTCAAATAAATATATTTAAAATTCGCCAAAAATCAATACCTGTCTCACCTGCGCAGTACCTGGGTCCACCGCTTTGGGCTTAGTGGGTCCCCACATCATGTATAGTAGGTATAGGGGCCTCAATGTACAAAAACCCAGGTCTGGTCAAATACATGCAGATAGCCGCCCACTGGCTCTTAGACTATAATGTTAAAACCAGATTGATCAGTTGTTCAAAAATCGTTCAACAACAAGCGGCCCAGGAGAAAAGCGAGAAGATTTGGAAATAGAATTTTAGTAGCCTGAAGTTTTTGAAAAAATTTAAAATGTTACAATAAAAAAATAATTTGTACCTTGTTGGATGTCGAACTCCCTTCTCCTAGCTTTCTTCAACTCCCTCTGTTTGCGTTTATCGGCTAGTTTTTTCTCCTTCAGGCTCTCGTATAGATCTTCGAGGGATCTATTAAAGTACTGCGAACAACAAGAACCGGTGATTATGCGAAAATCTCTTTTCTTCCGATTTAAGGAATCGTTTCGCTATTCACTTGAACATATTGTTTTAATCTTATAAATTTGACAATACAATTCGAAAACTACAGAATAAGCTACGAAGAAACAATAATGATTGACGTTTGAAAGGTATTTGAGTTAAATTTTCAGCAATCAGCAAAATTTTCTTCTTAGTTTAAGATTTTAAGCCACGCCACAGCACTGAGGGGTATGTTGTAGTGTTCTTCTTTCACAACATTTCTACCTATGACTAAAACCAGCTGATTTGATTTTGTCGGGGTTTTTCTTTACCTGCACAGTTGAATACTTCGAATCGTACAATTGGGAGGGCGGTAAGTATTTGGCTTTGCCGCTCATCTTCGGACACCGTTCGCCTTCTGCGGCATCGCGCTGTTTGCGCGCATAATTTTGGGGAGCAATATAAGACAATAAAACAGTTACACAATACCCGCGTATTAACAATTTATTGGTCAAATATTTGTGCTAATAATTAAGCACGACGCGATCGTGATAGGTATAGGCGTATAGGAAAAGCGCAAATATTAGGATTTTTTTTTTCTGGGGGATTAAAAAGGATTCAGACGAGAGGATAGATGTCAAGAGATTTTGTTATTTGCGCGATTGCTTATCGATGTCTCAACTAATTTGCAAATGATTTGGTAAGGAGATAAGCAGAATCAAAAATACCCGTTGACTTTTGAGGTACGTGGGGATATAGTGCATTCGCAAATAAATCGAGTCATAAATTTATATTACCAGTAGCATGGGGCAAGCTAAAATAATTCTGTGAAGAAATTGAAAATTGTAAAAGCTAAGAGATAGGTATAAGGAATGCTACATGAAGAACACAGGTCAACAATTTTTTTAATTTTGGTCTCTTAAATTTAAATATGATAACCATTTTCCTCTATCACGTAATGTTTTTTATCAACATTAAAATAACTAATAAATGAAAATTTTAGTACATTAGTACTAATAATCTAAATTAAATCACAAAGTCCATATATTTTTGGAAGATCCTCTACCCCTTGACCGAAATAATTCGGTTCAACGTCCCATCGTCCTTGATATCTGCGTTCCGTTTCTATTAGATCCTTACTGGAACCTCTCGCCTTACTTCTCACTAACGGCACCAAGATTTTCGGGAAAGTACCTTTGTAATTTTTATATTCGTTGTTTCCTAGAAAGCTTTTCTAACATCAGTAGATGAAACCCATGCAACCCTTTTGGATTCGATCATGGTATTCACAAAGTGTTGATCTTCCATAATTCGCCAAAAATTGCTTCCTTTAATTTTGCATCTGAGATATATATTTAAACCATGCTCCATCTTTATTTACAGCTGTAACGCACTGCTTCATCAGATCTAATTTCACCCAATGTTGAGGTCTGTTTCTGTTGTCCCACTCACACAAAAACAGGGGTACTTTGTATATCCTGAACGTTGACCTAGTAGAAGTCGCACAATTTTTACGATTTTCGTAGCATTCTTTTATTTGTACAGAATGAGCATCGGGTACCGAAACAAGAACATTTCTGATGTGCAAAAGAAGAGCTCTAAGGCCTTTCTTGGATGACTCAATAAACAGCCTTCAGTACTCAAAATTGTAGTGTGTACCAAGAGCTTTAGATATGAGTAACATATATACATATATATATATATATATATATATATATATATATATATATATATATATATATATATATATATATATATATATATATATATATATATATATATATATATATATATACACTTGGAATTTCTTCTTATATCGACCGTACTAAACTTATTTGAATTCAAAGGATATCGGGTAGCGGTCCGTGGTTAAAATATAAAGCTCCTTTTTTCTTTAACACTCAATATTTCGTCAATTTATTTGTTGACTTCTTCAGGAGTGAAAAAATTAGAGTCTACCACATAGTTCCTCAAAAACCATACTTTGCAGTTAAGGTAAATGAACGAAGCGACATAATGAAACAAACGGATACTAAGTGTTTATCCGTTTGTTTCATTATGTCGCTTCGTTCATTTACCTTAACTGTAAAGTATGGTTTTTGAGGAACTATGTGGTAGTCAACAAATAAATTGACGAAATATTGAGTGTTAAAGAAAAAAGGAGCTTTCTATTTTAACCACGGACCGCTACCCGATATCCTTTGAATTTATATATATATATATATATATATATATATATATATATATATATATATATATATATATATATATATATATATATATAGTGTAGATACATACCAGACAGAAGTCTGTTCAAACTTGTTTTGTTGTACTTTCTCATTTCATTTATTTTTTTATAAGCCGTTTCTCTAATGATCTCCCCTTTCTTTTCGTAGTCCGATTCTTTTATTTTATTTGCGAAAGCACTAAAATAAAAGACGTTTTATTACGAATTGCCGCAACTTCAAAACTGCTGGACTTAAATTTACACAAAGATCTTTTTTAATTTTGTACGTTGTCTGTTCTACCCGAATTCAGTGGCGACAAATTTTTAATCAAACATGAAGTATTTTATTGCATTTTCGAATTCGACATAAAAATTTAAACAATTTTCACTGATTGTTCCCCGTTTGCAAAAAAATACCCACTTACATGAAGTGTGATATTTTGAATGCACTTAAAAACTGTACATGTGTTATCGATAATGTTTTATACAAGGAACGCATATCATACCATTGATTGGGCAAACAAAATGATTAATTGTCTCCATTCTTCTCGATCCTTTGCTATCTAACACGCAATTTTGATAATGTCTTCCTCTTTGATTTTTGATTATCCATGTGTTTCCTTTTTTATCCTTTGATTGTATACCCAGCATAAGTCTTACTATCGCTCTTTGCGTTTTCTTTATTTTGTTTACATTATCTTTTGTAAATGTCCATACTTCTGCGACATGTATGGTAGTACACATTGGTTTTGTTCAATATGATGAAATATGAATATGATGAAACTGCTGCTGGCTGCAAATGCTACTCAGGCATGTCTGTATCTACTTTTCATGTGCTGATGTTGGATTCTCTTTATCCACTTTAATCTCTCGTCCCAAATATATCGCAATCTTTGACTACTTCTATTGTATGTTGCCCTAGTCTGATTGTAGCGTTCTCATGTGTACTTCTCATGGTTTTGGTTTTATTATAATTCATTTGTAGTCCAATTCTTCCGGCTTTTATATCTGGTTCTTCAAACATTGCAATCAACTCAAACTCAAAAACAACGAGTTGATGTTTTACAAACATTCCAGATTCATTGACAAAGTGGCGAGAGCGCCAGTTTTATCATAAATGTCAAGACTGCCGAACCAATAAAAATTGCAAAATTTGTTTGTATTATTTTTCAAACGGCAAACTAGGTGTTAAATATTATATGGAGAAATAAAGAAAGCAACTGCCTCACAATACACACAACAGCAACATTTTTATTTTCATTACCTTAGCACCTAGTAAATAAAAAAATAAATCGAATACAATTTTTTTTAATCGACTTGAACAGGTTGCTACTAGCGAATAACTAAATACGGCAACAACAATTAAACAGATATAGAACACACAAAAATAGTTTTTGAGTGTAAATTGCAGCATTAGCTGCCAAATTTCAATTCTGAAAATTCCAGGCAGTGGATAAAAAAAAGGCGTCTAAAACAACGAAAACTTAGCTCCCTTTTGTAGAAAATATTCTGATCCATCTGATGATTATAAAAGGCTGCCTCAGGTAATATTCAATTGAGGCGAAGCTTCATCTTGCATAAAGTTTAGTACAAAAGTTACTTGGACTCTCCTGACTATTTAAAATATCATAATTTTCTTGATACATCAACTTTGTTGTTTTAAATAGAAAACCCTGTATATATCGACATTTTTGAAATCTTTGGAATTTTTGGAGTTTTGCATAGTTTAGGCAGAAATTGAGGTTATATGTTTTTTTTTTTAATATTTTGATTGCCCCATATAAAATTGTGTTGCGACGCTACTGATCCAGGTATTTCAACGAAAATTTAACCACAGACTAAGGTGATGCACTAATCAATCAATTTGACAGATGCGCCTCAGGGTGTCCCAAATAGGTGGTGCCGTTTTGGCGAATTGAATTCACGAAACTCAATATTTTCAAATGGAACACCCTATATTTTTATTCAGATATGTAAAAACTACATCGTCAAGCCCAGATGTTCTTACGGAGTAGCCTTTGTCTCCGGAATGCCAGAGAATGGGGTGAATATAAAAAAAAACAATTTCACGTCTGTGAAAACGCTCAGCTATTTTTTAACAAGTATGTATGTTTAAAATTTTGGCAACTTTTGGCAACCGTAGAAGTAACATACGCCTTTAAAGCATCTAACACAATAATAACATGCTTGTGTGCGCAACCAACAATGCGCTAAGTAGCCTAACGCACCGCTAGATGGCAGCGCCACCTTTGTGATACCCTCGGTTACACTAGCATTGCCGATCAGCTGATGGGTCACCGGCTTATTGCGGTTCAAAAGTTTTAACCGGCGTAAAACCCTGCTTTTTTTTCCTTTCAATGGACGACGTAGCGTCGGAGAACGCATCGTAAATTTTCTATGGTAACAGCGCGTGTCTCGAGGAATAGTTCCTCACTTGCCGCTATGGTGGTTCGTCCTGTGACCGAGATTGCGGCTTATCGTCCGATAAGCTTCGAAATCTGTGATTTTTTTTTTAAGACGTTGTTGTGACCGATTGTCTCGTTTACTATAATACGCCCGTAAGTACTTTACGTTCCGTTTGGTTGATTAATTAGTTAACATTCCTTGGTTATTGATGAGTTTTAGTGACAGATTCAAATATGTTACCAACAATGGGGCGCAATATTCTAATTAAAGTTGTACTGGATTATCATGTTTATTTATTTTGTAAACGATATCGTCATCTGTATTTTCGATCGTTGTTTTCAACGTATTTTTGGAATTTCTCAAGCATATCGGTACTAGGAGGTAGTTTTTGAGTTTGACATAACGTGGAATACAACTAAAAATTTGAAAGTATTGAATCAAATTTCGGTAAAATTGTATTTCGGGGTATTTACCACAGAACAACCTGTTTTTGTTTTACTATTTCAATATAGGCAAATTATTCTTATCTGTCCTTATTTATGCAAATGCATTCGAAGTGATGTTCAAATGTGCCTGGTTTATAAAAATCGGTTACGATGTCAAAATATTGTGGAAAGGCAATAAAGATTGGTTACCACTTTTAACGACGACTTTTTTTGAACGCGTGCTCAATCTAAAAAGATTCTTTTTTCTTCATATTTGATTCTTCTGACTCGTCGTGGTCGTCCTGTATAAACGGGCGGCCGCATAAACACAATCAAAAACCACTTAAAACAATGAGCGCGATAAAACGGCGAATCAATAAACAAAGGTAGATATAGACACTAACGAGATTGTAAACGGGAGAAGCAAATAATGGGATCGTTACCGTTCAACAAAAAAATGTGACGATTTTGTAAACAGACGATCACGTGAGGCCAATTTCTCAACGATGTGATTTTAACTACATGAAATCCTTGGGGATCCGGTCAGGCGCGGATTCAACAGAAACTATTGTGCAAAAAAATTCCGAATGGCCTGTGATATGAAACGGTTTTTGTTTTGCTAAAAAGAACTGTCAAAAACCTATACGTGCAGTGAAGCAAGCACTCATCTACATTTAAAATTACTGATGGTTTTGTTAAGATCGATTTTCCCAATCAAAATTAACCACTTTTTTATCTATCTATTTTATATTAAAAACTGTGCTTTTATTATTTGGATGCCATTTTGAACGAGAAAAAAGTACCAATTGCATATCTACCTGTTCCACACAATGTGGTACCATGGTGGAAGGAATTAGAGAGAAAGAAAACGTTTCCCAATACACTGCATGGACGATTTTTATTTTATATTAATTAATTAAGTCAAAATATTGTAGGGTTGTTGAATGCCGAAAGGTAATTAATTGGTTAAAGACGAGATCCTAAATTTCGTGCGTGCGTTTGTTGAATGGATCTCAAAGTATTGTCATAGTGGTTTCATAAGTTGCTGTATTATCAGCTTGAGAAGCATTCTTCTATACCTCTAAAAGCTAGATGCCTATAATACTATAATCACGAAAACTGTGAGCCACTGGCGTAACTGATAATTTAATAGATTAAGTCACTTTAAAGAAATCAAGAATACAATTTAACACATCTTAGTATTTGTAGAGCATAGGGAGTCCTTTTAACTTCTTTTTTTTTGTTTCTTTTTATGTTTCATTTCTCTCTCAAGATGCATTGCATTGCTATGTGCTTCACGTTGGAATTGTTGATACTTTTTTTTAATTCGTTAGGCTTCTCCTTTTCTTTATAGTCATCTTCCCAAACATTTCATTAGGTTTTGCCTTAGATAAATTTGTGCTATGATCTTCTCTTTGATTTCCTTTGTTGTTTTCTTCCACGCAATTGGTTTTGGATATCCGTTGTTTTTGAAGTACGTGTTCATTCTCTGATTTTGGAAAAATTTGCGGGGCACACTGTTCCTGCTGCCATCAATAGTATCTATTTCTTTTGCAGATTCGAAATTTGTCCTATTTATTTCGACGAATGTCTAAACGACAGCAAAAAATTGTATGTATAAATTTTCTTGACTGTTTTTTTTGACGTTTTCTGCGGCCAAGTACCACACTGGAAGGAAATATTTTGATTTGTTATTATTTGATTAAAAAAGGTGTTAATTCTGTCGTCACTATCGACAAATGTCGAATAAGGTTCGTGTTGACCCAAAATGAACTAGTGGTTAGCATGTGTCGAAATGGGGAGTAAGCGCCGAGTACGAATATTTGCGGACGTCAGTGATTCGTAAAGCTCACGGGGAAACGGTTTAGTTTTTGCACGTCACCCACAGAAATTCTTTTTCTTTTGAGTAAGTATAAGCCCGAATGTCTTGTTTGCCTTTTCGCTGTCGTTTATATACATAGGATCATTAGAGTCATTAGGGTGCTATTGTTGTATTGACGATTTTTCAGATTAATATTTTTTTGAAGAAATTGTTGTCATTTTTCAAACCAAATCTTGAACAAAGCACATGTATTACGCAAGTCAATTCAAATTAAGATAAAAAAGAGACTTAAGTGATTAATTAATTTATTAAAAAATATAAATAATTAATCTGGAAAAAAGTGTTTTTTTGTAAAATAAAAATATGTAAGTTGACGTACTGGAGAGGTATAATCAGCAGGATTGAAATCATGTATCTTTACTTCCATTAAATCTATCAATAAATATCATCATCATTAGATACGCAAGATGTTTGATGTAATTATTTTATTCTAAAATCTAAATTTTGCACCGTTAGTCTAAAAACATATTACCAAAATCTTCATCTTCGTCATTTATTTCTGCAATCCTTTGTTTTTTTTAAGGACATCTTTTTCCTTCTCTTTATTGCATTCACGAGTACATATTCACTATAAACGTGGCCAGCAGGGACATTCATCTTCAGATGGTTTAATTTTCTTTTTCAAAAACCTCATAAAATGATCATAAAGCTTATATGTGGTGTTTCAAAAGACGTGTGCCATCGCTGCAGGAGAGATTAATCACGTAAAAATAAGTAACTACTATTATCATAACTATCATAAACCATTACATTCCTGGTGGGATATTGGTCATGTTCTGATGGTGGTCTAATGAGCAATCTTTAATGTTTTTTGCTGAAAGTAGCAAAGCATTTAGCACCCATACTTCCCTCGAACCACAGTGTGACTTGGATATTCTTTCTTTTCTTTATGCCATTCTTTGTTTATAGTGTCATATGCGACGAACCAAGTTAATATCAGAACAGCATCAGTATGCATAATAATTAAGTATTTTAGGAATTATGAGTAATTGCTGAAACTGTTACTGATTTTGCATAAATAACTATGCACAGTATGAATTATGCATAAATGCTAAAATCGTCAGATATTGTGCATAAAATTTGGAATATTCCGTCAATATTGACAATACCTAAAAATTTTGCAGGAATTATCCATAATAGCTAAAATATTTACTTATTTTTCATATTTCCATATGTTGCTTAGTTTTCTGTCTGCTAAAGATAGATGTCGGTGATCACTGATTAATGATTTTACTTTGCAGCGAAGTTCAAGGCTGGGGTAGACCTTAGTGAGTGCGGCACCCGTTAAATATAAGTTAGGGAAGTGTTTGTCATATTAGTGGCCTCGGTAGCAGCCGCTAGTGTTAAATTCAATTATATATTAAGAAGCTAAGTGGTAGATAAAACGTAAACTCTTTGTTCAAAAAAGCTGTAATTTGGCTTGGCTGTAACTGTACCTTCAAAAGCGCAACTGTATTAAGTTCTGCAGGAACAGTACTTGTAAAAAGATAACAAAGTAAAGAATGAAGTTCTTCTTGTTGAAATTAATAAATTGTTTTGCGATATGTAGTGGTTACATTAGTCATAAAAACAGTTCTTGTTTAAATAAATTGCAGAGTAAGTACTTAATTTCTTGTGTTTTCTGCCTCTAAGAGCTAGTCACCTAAACGTATGCACAATTTCCTGTAAAATTTTTAGTTATTATCAGTTTTACGTAATAACAGTTTTCAGAAATTAAGCACAATTCCTAAAATGCACAGTTATTATGCAAAATCACTAACAGTTTCAGTAATTACTCATAATTGCTAATATACTCTGTTGTTATCCATACTAACTGTTTTCGGATATTAGTTAGGTCTCTTTTATACAGTTATGCTTGTCCATCTTTAAATCTAAATCTGATTTTGTGCAAAATCATTCCCACAGAAATTTTAATTCCTGGTGCAATGATTCAAGTCATACATCCGCATAAAGTCTGTTCATAGATATGAGAAAGTGACTAACTGGTACGAATTAAGGAAAGACCTGGGCAACCTGTAAGAATAAAATAATATGGCCGAACAGGTCCGTACTTTGCTTAGAATTTAATTATTTGGGGTTTTGTTAGGAAAGATACTAAACAATATTTATTTATTTATGTATGTATTTATGTTTAAATCTAAAATAAAATTACAAATTATAATTATTACATACTTAAATTACTTATAATTATTCGCATAACATATCAATATCACTATCGCTATCATCGCCTGTTCTAATTATTATTTGTTATATATTATTTGCAATATGGATGTACGATTGTTCTGCTTTTTCTATATGTTTAACAAAATTTGCCCAACTTTGTGGAGGGATGTTAAAAATTTCGGTTTCTATAAGTTTGAGGACATTGGAGTTAACACGGGGAAAACATTGTTACGACGAATGGCAGATTTCAGTTGGTGCCAAACATATTCAATGGGATTAAATATGCAGTGGTAAGGTAAGGCCTTAAAACTGTATGCCCTAGATTTTTTGCATAATTATCACACGTATTCCTTTTGTCGGTTCAAGCTTTGTAGAACCTCAATTAATTGCTTTTTGGTATAATCTTCGTTAAAATAAATGTCGCTATTACACATGTAGTTTTGGTTTGTTGCTTTTGTGTCACATGAGGAAGGGGTTTTAGTCAACTTTCTACTGTGATAACTTGCATTGTCCATTATAATGACGCTATTAGGAGGGATGTTTGGAACTAGTTTGTTTTTAAACCAACTTTCAAATAAATCAGCGGTGGTGTCTTCATGGTAATCCAGAGAAGAATCTTTAATATTTTTCTCAGACAGACAAAGTCCATTTGGAATCCAACCATCCTTAGAGCCAGCATGCA